CTTCTCCATCTAGCTCTCTGACAGTTGAGGCTTTCCACTATTTTTGAGTATGTGACTTTCCCTAATCGAGTCAGTACCCCTCCTCTCGTACAGAAGTTGGAGATTTCCCCTCCTCTTCTTTCTTTCTCCCTCTGCCTCTCCGACAGTTGAGGCTTTTCACTATTTTTGAGTAGGTGACTTTCCCTATTCGACTCAGCGCCCCTCCTCTTGTACAGAAGTTGAGAGATTTCTCCTCCTCTTCTTTCTTTCTCTCTCTGGCTCTCTGACAGTTGAGGCTTTCCGGTATTTTGGAGTAGGTGACTTTCCCTACTCGACTCAGCGCCCCTTCTCTTGTAAAGAAGTTGGAGACTTCCCCTCCTCTTCTTTCTCCCCCTTTTTTCTTCCTACTCTAGAGGCTTCCCACTATCTTTTGTAGGTGATTTTCCCTACTCAGATTTGCGCCCCTCTTTAGTAAAGGAATTGAAATGGGTGATCACGCATCCACCAAAAATCCTCCCGCTAAAGAAGATCATCTCATCGCCCGATCTAAGGGTTTGAAGAAGACTCACAGGGCGCCAAAGACTGATGATGTTATCTCCATCATTACTGAGGATTCTTTCATCTCCTTTAGAAAAAAATTTCATTTTCCTAATGATCTGGTGATGAAGGTGCCTACAAGGTCTGATCGTGCCTGTTTTCCTCCCCTGGGATATGTAACGGTGTATGAATTCAGTTTGCGAGAGGGCTGCAGTTTTCGCCATCTCCTGAATTGATTGACATTCTGACAGTCTTTGGAGTGAGTTTATCTCAATTTTCCTACAGAGCCATGTCGATCGTAATGAGCCTGATCGTGCTTTTTAGAGATCGTGGAGTGGTATTATCTTAAGAATGCCTTTCTCGGATAGGGCATCTCTTTAGTGATGCGCAGGGTCGTATCTCTTTCATATCCAAGTGGTTGGATGTTCATACTCGAGACCCGTCGAAAGGTTTGATTAGCAAATTCTTTTTTGTACAAAATGACTGGAACCTTCAAGAAAAATGGAGAAAGTTGAAGGAGTTACCCGTCCCACTTCATATTGGAGCAGAAGATTTACTAAATATTCTCAAGCTTCCTGATATTGTCGCCCTACATTACGAGGTGCATTATTTGGGCAGGTATATAGACGAAGAACACTTGTTCAAGGTGGGATTATCTACTCAAACAGGAAGATCGCATACACAAATGCTGAAGAATACTTGTTCTTGAAATAGTATTTTGGCAAAAAATAAAAAAAAACATCGAGGAGCGCTGCCTCCTTGGACCCCCGAGATATATATGAAATTTCACACTTTTACTTATAAGTTTGCCCCCCTCCCCCCCCCCCCTCCTCGTCTTCTTGAAAATTAAGGTCGGTTCCGCCATGATCGCATCATTATAGCTTAAGGCTTCATCTGGGATGACTTTCTTATTGCTTCTCAAAGCAGCTTTTTAGTACACAGAAATCTCAAAATTAAAAGGAAGTTAATGCTATATTATATTAAATTAATAGTTTATTTGTAGTTTGTCATATGCAATGCATGCACTTAATTTTTTTTTTTTTTTTTAGATCATAGTTATTGTAAAACAACTCAAGATAAGAAAGATAAATTCTTAAAATATGAATGAGCATTTTTGTGTAATGGTTGATATTTTATTAAAAATTGTAAAGTTAAGAGTGCTCATATTGAACCACTCTTAAGATTGGTGACCTCTTAAGAAGTTACACTAAAAGGACAAAACCTAAGATTATTAGGCTAATCAGGTTAATTTTATGTGCTAGAATAATACTATATTTGAACACAGTGCATCATATATTGAGTTATTTAATAATAAGTGCAAATTTTGAGTGACCGCTTATAGCCTTCTCGCTTTAAAAATTGAGAAGCTCGTCTTTATCATCTCACCTTGATTTTTTAGAATGCGTAAAAATATTTTTCACATTCAGTATAATGTGGAAAAAAGTTTTCCCCGTTTAATAGAACACGGAAAACTATTTTCCCCATTCTATTGAATATTTGAATGCGAAAAACTTTTTTCTGGTTTTCCTTTATTTCAAAATTTCAGTATCATCTTTTGCCTCTCAAGCCTCGCATTCCGTCCAATAATTTACCGCGCTCCTAGTTATCCTGCCCTCCGCCAATTAACACAATAATAGAGGATATATAGGCTCCTGAGCAATTTTTTTTAACAACTAAAAAAATTATTAAATAAAAGAAAATGAGTACAAAGTCAAGTTACAATAATAAGGGAAACAAACAGCCAAAAAGGACTAAGCAAGGAAAAATAAATAAAGAGGGTGTATGTGTGTGTGTGGGGGTAGGGGGGAGGGACTCAAGAGGCCTCCAGCACCAGCCTAGTAGCCAAGCACATACCACCCATAGGTAGAAGAAAATGAACGCAATCCAACCAATGCCGAGATACCCAGGTTGCCAGCCAGCTTAGCCACAAAGGGGAAGCAGGGGCATCCTCATCATCATCCAAAACACCATCAAGAACCATGACAAGAGTGCAAAGAGCCAAATTTGAAACCAACCATCGATGATAGCCAAACAAAACCATCCAACAAGCTACAATAAGCTACAACCACAAGAACAAAAGGATAAAACCAAATGCACTACTTCCTTCCTCTCCTTTTAGCTCCGCCACCCCGCATTATGAGAACCACGATCGACAAAGTGAACAACGACTTCCTCCTCACTCACATAAAACTCCTCTTCATCCACACTAGAAGGAGAAGATAAACAATCTTCTAAAATTAACCAATCTGTTTGAAGCAAAATTGATTATTTTCTAGTCATAGCCACATGATCATGCATTTCAGCGTTAGACAACACAGAAATAGGAATATTAACAATATTAGCATTTCTCACCAAGCCTGCTCTAGAAGGATTAACTAATTTATCCACACCAAAATTAACCGAAGAACATACCACCTAAGCCCTAGGGGATAATTCCATAGGGGAGCCAGACGAATTAGATTGCTCAACTGCCACACAAGGTTGAACAGTTCTAGTTAAAATGCACGGGTCAGACATAGCACCCACATCAGTTAAAATAGGGAAAGAGTTAACTTCACAACCCAAATGACCACCTTCACTAGCATAACCCCGAGCGCCCTGAACAGCAGGCAAGACCCCAGCCAGAACACCCTCAGAAACCTCCACAGATCCCCCAAATTTGCTACAAGTGCATAATCAACAACAAATGCTTCAGGACAATTATTAATATCATCATTAACAATAAGAGTCGCAACAATAGACAAATTATGACCCATAGGATCTGCAATTTTAAGACCAAATGGCCCAAGGTCATCCAAAAACATTGCCCATAATAGGGATAGTAGCCAGGACAAACATAGGGGGCGGCAAAAACCAGAAACAGTAACAGGAGAGGCACGAATAGGGACATTAGAGGCTCGGGTAATCCATTCACAAAAGAATCAGCACCAATAATACCCTCCGTAGCTACTAAAATAATAACAGGGTCAGAAGAGGTCTCAGATAAACCATTCACAGCAAATTCATTACCAACAAGGCGACCATCCCCCAACGAATTAAAAGGAGGAAAGGCAGAGGAATCAAGGTTTGGGTTAAGAATTCTACAACAGCTTTCGAATGGCCGAAAGCTAAACAGTGCACACAATACTCAGGAAATTCTTAAAAAACCATAGATTGAACATTCCCCATACTATCCGTGCTTATCCATATTTGGTATGGGTACTATTTGGACACTGCTAGTTCAACTAAAACACGTGCAATAGACGGATGTGAACTAGTAGAGGTAGCATTATCCATTTTCAAGGGTTTGCAAAAAATCAAACCTAATCCATGAAGAATACGTGGGGCGAACAAATGAGGGCGGAGGTTAGGGAAGGAAATTCAGATGGGGATAACAGGTAATTCAATCTCAACATCAAAAGTATGTGACCACTTAATTAATTTCATATAGCAATTACTCACAAAATATGATCTATGAGCAAAAATCCTATAATAATCCAAGTCGTTAAAGGGCTAAATCAAAACATTGCACTGGTTCAAAACTGTGACGGAAACCTCTCCATTAAGCTTAAGCTTGAAAAAGAAACTCCTAATTGCCAGAAGGGATGGCCTATGGCCTGAAAATTTTCCAATTAGAGAAAATTCAAATAGAGCAGCTAGCGACTCGATTTCCACCTCGAAACTCCACAGCGCAAGAAAACCTCTATGAGAAGAAACCTTAAGTTTGGGAAAGACAACGGAAGAAGGTGAAGATCCAGAAAGAGCATCCTTAAACGAAAGAGAGGAATATCCAACCAAAAAACTTGGATCACGAAATCGTGAAGGCACCATAAAAATGAAAATGATGCAAAGAGTGTAACAACAAGGAGAAGAAAACTTCCCTGGCCACTCGAGAAGAAGCACCCAGCACAAAATGTGGGGGAGAAGTGGCCGGAGCGATCGAAAGGGGCTGCTAGGGTGATGCCCTAGCACACCCCATAGAGCGAGAGCGAGAGCTTTCATGAGGCTCCTGAGCAATATGAATGTTCTTGTAGAAACATGAAACAAGAAGAAGTTCTTGAAATTAATATAAGAGAAAGGAAGAAGTTGAATAAATCTTATTGTCCACCAGAAGAGAATACACGACAATCTATATAGAGAGGTGAGAGCAGCTTAAGAACTAGAGAGCCTATCACAATATGCCACCTCATTAACTAATACAAAAATATATTCATTGTGTATCTGTGTGCTATAATACGTCCCTGCAAACTAATGGATCCTGACTAACTATCAGTTTGAGTCGAAGTAGGTGAAATCGAGGTGTAGATAACGATTTGGTGAAGTTGTCAGGCACTTTATTGATCGTGCTTATAGGAAGAAGATTGATGTTATTCTTGTATGTGTGATACCAAATGAATTTATGGTCAATTTCAATGTGCTTCGTGTGAGCGTGGAAGTCCGGGTTATTGGTTAGAGGTATAGCAGAGGTGTTATCACAATATAGTTCAGTTGGATAATCTTGAGGTATGTCGAATTCTGTGAGAACTCACCGAAGCCAAATGATGTCAGATGTGAGTGCTGCAAGTGCACGATATTCAGATTTTGTTGAAGATCTTACGACCGTGTGCTGTTTGTTAGTTGTCCAGGATATGAGCATGTATCCCAAAAATGATCAGTAACCTGATGTTGATCTCCGACAGGTTGGGTCGTTGGCCCAATTCTCATCTGAAAATGATTTAAGAATGATATTAATTTTTGTGATTGGTATACCATAGCCAAGCGTACTTTTGATATAACGTAGAAGTCATTTTAACAAGTATATATGTTGAGGAAGAGGATGATGCATGTGCTGAGATAAGAGATTGATAATGTATGTTATTGTTGGCTAAAAAAAATGGCATGAATGCATGAATCCCACTTTACAGCTGTAGGATTTCATTTCTCTTAAGTCAGATTGAAGTTAACCAGATTTTCCCTGAGGATAATGTCAAGGTTTAAAGATCTGGGCTCCTTACTTCCTATAAGTGCAAGCACTCATTGTTAATTACCCCTCTTACTACCTAAGAGAGAACTCTCGATTAATGATGAATAAATTTTAGTTAATTTTTTTTAGTCTCAATAGTGGGGGAAATGGAGGTAAACCCGATCAAGAACCCATGATTCCATCATCTTGGGTATATCATAGATTTTAGTCTACCAACACTAACAATCATTAGCCATAGTGTCAAGGGAATCTGATTAGCAGCCATGGGTTTCCTCCTCTTAGGGATCCGGAGTAGACTGAAGTGGTTAGGTATGAATTTTAATTTTATTGAGTGTTTTGGGGTTTACATCTAGTAGAATACCCATAGATTTATTTAGTTTGAGATTTATGACTTTATTTAGAAGTAACCCAGGGATTAAGAATTAGTTTGGGATTTAGGGCTTTCGTAAAAAGTAACCCAAGTATTTAGATTTAAGTTGAGGCTTGCTGCTCTATTTGTGAGTTGCCCAAGGATGTGTTTAGTTTGGGGCTTACAACTCCAGTTAGGAGTTGCCTATTCATTTGTTTAGTTTGGGACTTATGACACCAATTAGGAGTTGCCCGTTAATTTGTTTAGTTTGGGGCTTACGGCTCCAATTAGGAGTTGCCCGTTCATTTATTTAGTTTAGGTCTTACGACTCTAATTAGGATTTTCCCATTCATTTGTTTATCTTGGGGCTTACGGCTCCACTTAGGAGTTTCTTGTTCATTTGTTTAGTTTTGGGCTTACAGCTCCAATTAGGAGTTGCCCGTTAATTTGTTTATTTTGGGGCTTACGGCTCCACTTAGGAGTTGCCCGTTAATTTATTTAGTTTGGGGCTTATGACTCCAATTAAAAGTTTCCCATTCATTTGTTTAGTTTGGGGCTTACGGCTCCTATTAGGAGTTGCCCGAAGAATTTTGGTTGGATAGATTTTATGACTTTTTTTAGAAGTTTCCTAACGGTGGGTCTTACAACCTAACCCTATAGGCTAGGTTGCCCATAAGTTTGAATTAGATTATTTGGGTTTTAAGTTCATTACAATTTATTTAGTAATTTTTCTAAATTGTTGGGGCTTACGACTTCAATTACATGTTGCCCAATAACGGGTCTTACAACCTAATCCTATAAAATAGGATCTCCAAAAGTTTAAATTTGGCTTGAATTGGATTTGGATTAGGTTTTAGTGCTTCCTTAAAAGTTGCCTAATGATGAGTCTTACGACTTAGCACTTTAAGCTAAGTGGCCCGATTTATGGGTCATACAACCTAGCCCTATAGACTAGGATGCCCAAATGAGGGGTCTAAGGTTGTATTATCACCTAAACATTTCTCTCAAAGGTCGAACTTATGGCTTATATTAGAAGTAGCCGGCGTTTTAATTGGGGGTTGACGTTAGGTTAATTTTTACCTAAAACTTTCCCCTAAGGCCGAACTTACGACTTTCCTACAAAAGTTGCTGGGTAATGGGCCTTATAACCAAGTTCGTATAAACAAGGCTGCCCAAATGTCTAAATTTGATTGTTTGGAAATTTGTTCTAAATTCGTTTGAATTGGTTGAGTTTGTGATTTTGACACCTCGAGATTTTGACACTGGTTGGTGTTTTAGTTGATATGTGCTTGTAGTCTTTTTCCTACTACAATAGTTCACTTCTTTACCCATTTTTTCAGCACTATTACACTACTAGCTTTTTTGTACTCAGTTTTTTTTTGCTTTCCAGTACTATGTTTTACTTGCAGTAGCTTAGATTTATCAGTATTCATTCAATTTATTTATGATATACTGACTTTTCATATGTCTGCTTGTTGGTATTCGTAGCCAGTGGTTGCAGTAGTTTTCCTTTCTATTTTAGCATATTATTATTATTATTTTTTGTATCATTGTACTGATAGTTTACTGCGGCATTCTCTGCTTTAGCATTAAATTTAATGTTGATTTAATTGTAATTATTCTAAATGAATTTAATTTATTTATTACATGAGAGACCTTTGGAGAGCTTGCATAATGTGTTGTGTAGAGTTTGAGAGCTTTTGTTGTTTGAGTTGAGTTGAGATTTTAGTTAAGTTGTTGCCTAAATTGAATTGTTTTGTTTGAAGCATTGTTTATGTTGATTTGGAGAGTTGGTTATATGTGTTGATTAGTGGAATCCCCCTTCTTTTCATTGCATTTTATTTTATAATTGCTCTAATTTGGTCATTAAATCTCAATGCTTCTTGAATTTTAACTAACTAATGAATTTAAACCATTCCGACCGGACCTAAGGTCGACGACACGAGGTCTTCATTTTAAAATCATCTCGACCGGATTTTAAAGTTGATGGCTCGGGGTCTTCGCATCAGTAAATATATGTTGTTTTATAATTGCAAAAATAAAAACAAAAAAAGGCTATTTCATATAATTTATTTAATTCTTTTAAATCAATATTATTAACTATAGCCTTAATCATTTAAATCTATATTATTAAATATGACAATCCTTTGTTTGTCCCTTAACAAGTAATTCAACTAACCTTTTCCTAAGCTTAGAACAAGATCAATGTATTGTCTTGTACATGTCAGGTTTGAATAATTGGAACAATATATAGATTCTTCATAATGCAAACAACTTATTTCAGTCTTTCTATGCAATCAATGATTTGTTGGATTGAGAGACAGGACAAAATCATCTTTATATGTAACTTTGAACTCTCTCTATTATTTTCTGCCAGAAAACATTCAACTTCTTGCCTATGTTTAAAGAATTTTAAATTTAAGATTTATTTTAAACTATTTATTAATGACTTTTAATTGATTAGATCAATTAATAAATTAATTATTTTAATTAGTGAAGCTATGACATTGTTCTCAAAATAGTGACAAAATAATGACAAAGGCAATTCAGCAATATTTTAGAAAATTTTCGGTAGCCTTCCGGCCTCCTCTTCCCATCGAGGGAGAAATCGGGACGGCATTTGCCGATATTTTCTTCCCGGCCGGACCTAAGGTCAACGGCTCGAGGCCTTGAATTAAAACCATCTCGGTTGGACCTAAGGTCGACGAAACGAGGTCTTCAATTTCAATTCTTCCCAACCGGATTTAAAATTGACGGTGCGAGGTCTTGTATTTTAAAACCATCTCGGCTGGACTTAAAGTCAGCGACGCGAGATCTTAAATTTGAAACCATCCACACTGGGCTTAAAGTCAACGGTGCGAGGTCTTGAATTTAAAACCACCACTCCCAGATTTAAAATCAATGGAGCGAGGTCTTCATAATTAAATGGGCAAAAAAGAAACGCTCAAATGTTAAATATTCAAGCACTAAATAGATTAAGAATAATTGTATAGTTTTTTTTTTCTTTCATTTTATCAATATTATAAAATTCTTTCTCCACGTCAGATTCATTAGCCGCATCTCCAACTTCAACATAAATGCAACTAGTAACTTTCTTTATTTTTTAGATGTTTATTTGCTGACAACTCATAACTGTATTTCTCTCCTCTTGAATAGAATTTGGGCAAAGTCTCATTTCATGCAAGTTGGATTGGAGAGGGAATTACATTGTGTAAGATTTGCTTGTTGGAGTATTTGGTACACATACTTCTTTTGCGATTGAGAATATTTGTTGATGAGACTAGCTATCTTGATTCCAAGAAATTCATTTGATTCCCCTAAGTGTTTCATAGAAAATTCTTTGCTAAGTTGAACCAGAATATTTGTGATGTGTCCTGGTCATTTCTGGTTCTAAGAATGTTGTCAACATATATGGATAGGAAGATTTGAACTTTTGTCTTGTTAAAGATTAGAAGCGATGGATCTAATTGACTGTGCGGGAAGCCTAGCGACACAAGATACGATGTGAACGTATTGTACCACTGTCTCGGAGCCTGTTTTAATCTGTAGATGGCTTTGTGGAGATGACATACGTTGTCAGGACAAGAGTTATCTTCAAAACCTTTTGGTTGGACCATATAGACTATCTCGGATAGAGTATCATGAAGAAAAGCATTTTTCACGTCTAATTGTTAAACCTGCCAGTCATGATAAAGAGTGATCGCAAGAAGAGTGGTTAATTATATTGGAAAGATTTGATCGGAGGTAGAAGCTAAAGGAAAATTTTGATAAATTGTGAAGATAATTTTATTTTTTTGTTTTCAAGCAATTGTTAGTATTATTAAATTGTAGAAGATTTGAAAATATTAATTAAATATTTTTTCAGCACAGTTTTATATTTTTAAATCTTTTTTTTTTGTTTGTTGTAGCCTGTATGGGATAATATTAAATGTAAGTCTTCCATATGGTGTAAATTTTGACAAATTATTTACAAGAACTAAGTAGCAGTTCCCGCTTTTAAGTTGTTTTTTTTTGGTCATATGCAAGTTATTATTTTTCAGCCTAATTAGATTTATTTTTATTTTCTGTTGATGTAAGTAGCCAGATAATTAACTATTAAAACTATATATTACTTAAAAATATTTGTCTTTATTTATTTGAAAACAGAACTCTAAATCTTATTCTATTTTCTATTTACAAACTGGATAAATGAAGTATTGGTGGTGGTCCGGCGGAATTCAGGCGAAGTTCAGACCCTTAGGTGGTGGTCAAGTGGAGTTCAGGCCCTTAGGTGGTGGTTCGGCGAGGTAAGGGCCTCAAGTGGTGGTCCGGCGGGAGTGATGGTTTCAAGTTGTGGTATGGTGAGGGTAAGAGCCTCAAGCAGAGGTCTGACGGAATTCAGGCGGTGGTCAAAGAGTAAGAACGCAAGACAGATCTCCGATCTCTCTCTTGAATTCTTTAGCTTTAAGCCCCCTTTTAAGAGAAAGAAGATGCATATTTATAGATTTTTGGAGTGACATGACTCGTAAATTGGTAAGAGATCAAGGATAAATGGGGAGTGGTTGGATGGACGGTCGATGTTGAATCCCTTGATTAAAGACCTTTGATGGATGTTTGAATGTCTTAGTGATGTCGGAATTTGGTGATCTTGGGCTTGTTGGATTCTTCTCGTCGAGCCGCTTGATTAGACTATAAGCATGTTATGTTTGGAAACCATTTGGTAATCCAAATTGTGGTTTGAACCTTCCAACAACGCTTCTAACCTTTGATTTGGACCCATTTGGGCTCATATTGGGTTGGTTTTGGGGTCGTTGGGTCATGTTCTCGAGACGTTCAGTTTGACTATATGTTTGCTGAATTCGGAGTTCGGATAGTCCCAATTTTAATTTCAAAACTTTCCAACTTGATTTTGCATCGAGATTCATGCCCGATCAATATAATTTTTTTATGATGTATCAAATACATAAAGACAAATAACTTGACACTGATATCTTGCAAAACAACTAACATAAAATTGGATAAAATACTGATAATTATTATTATATTATATTTATTAGATGATTATAAATGATAATTCTTTTTAACCTGAATTTAAAAGTTCGGATAATTCTCTTAAATTGAGTTAGATAAGATTTTGATTTAATGTGTAAAATAATGGATTGTACTCCAAGAATATTAACTTAAAAGTAATCTTCTCTGTTCGTCCACTGGGGTGGATTTTGGGCTGTGGCAGTTGACTTTTGTTTTATTTTTCTTTCCTGATGGCTTATTGCACGGGTTTAGTGGTGATCGGATTTTTTTATTCTGTTGGCCGTTAGTTTTGCCGGGCTAGCTATGATGTGGTTGGGGCTCGCTTTTTCGTCGGTATGGCTCGTGGCAACCTTTGGTGGTCGTCTTTTGTTTGGTTGGGTTGGCTGCATCGCGTTTCACGTTACCTAATTGGATCGTCTGAGCTTCTTTTCGGAAAGCTGGAAGCCTCGGCCAATTACTGAGCCCTTAGGATTGAAATCCGCTTCTATTTTCTTTTATTTTATGTAATTTTTGCTTTTTGCTTCATGTAACCTTTTTAGGTATTTAATGAAATACTTTGTTTGTTAAAAAAAAAATATTAACTTAAAAATTCTGTCCAAACAAAATGCAAGAAATCGTCCAAAAAAAGCATGTGTAAATTAATTTTACGCTATCGCTCTTTTTTATATTATCTCTCAAATATGATTCTTACACTTAATTAAATTAAAAATGTGCTCCTTTATATAAATTCTCCTATTTTTAAATGTGCACTAAGAATAAACCAACAAAACATTTGATAAGAAGATCAAAAACTAAATTTATTTGTAAAATAAATATTTAAGAATAGAGGCTGGAGCCAATAAAAAGTGAGGATCAAAGTAAACTGGGCTTAGGGGTACTTAAACTTGCATTAAAATAATCAAATCCACGGACGTGAAACCCACTCTTTAAACTCTGCGAATCTGCGATCTCCATGGAATCCGTTCTGTAGCCGCCCACCCTTCGAAGCTCCAGCCTCTATTCTTCTTCCCTGCTTCTTCTTGAATCAGATTAACCACGAGGAGACGACAGCACGCAACTAAAGAACAATCACCCCCCACCCTCACTCGGATCCTCTTCACTGATTCGAACCAAGCTTGAGCAGAGGAGGAAGCAATACAGATGACAGTAGCTGATGGCAGGGCGGGGTCGTCAGATGGAAAACTCTGGGGTCTATGCCGGCTTCCGTTCTGACAGGCCGGATCTTCTGGTGCTGGAGGTGGCGGTGGGACTTCTTCGACGAAATCGTCGTCGACGTTGACCCATCATCAGCACCATCATGGTAGTGGTCAGCTCGGTGGGGCTTTGGGGCCGAGAGCGCAGCAGAGTTCCGGTGGGAACTCGGTCTCTTCAGTGGCGAGATCAATTTTGCCGACGCGGCGCCGGCTTCGGCTCGATCGGCCTAATAAACTTTACTTCCCATGTTAGTGGTTGGAATTTCGAAGTGATTTTCTTAATGATGCAGAAAAGTTTGGGTCTTGGCGAAGGTTTTTTTTTGGTTGAATTAGGGTTTTTAAAATTTTCTTGGTTGGTTGTACTTGGTTCCATACTCGATCTATTTGTTTGTTTGATTGCAGGTTTTCGAGTTTACTGAATTGTTTTAATTTTTAAATGCGATAATGTTATTGTTCAGTGGAATCTCTTTGATATTGATGTTGTTAGGATGGTATGCGGTGGAAGAACTACACTAGAAGCTGGAATTGTAGAGGATCACATTTTTGTTTTTCTCTTTTTGGTGATTGCTAGTTCTGGAGGTTTTATTTTGTCTAAATTTTTTAATGCACCTAATTAAGTCATAAATCATCTGGGCTATATATATTGTGGAACTATTATTTGTGTTTTAATCATTGAATGATTATATTTCTTCTGTGGAGTTTATCATGTCCATCTTAAGGAGTGCCTGGGTAAATCATGTCTCTTTTGTTGAATTTCCTTCTATTAGATTAGTTTCTGAGTTGTATCATTTGCATAGAACCAGGTCACTTGCTTTCTAGTGAAAAATTTAGTCCATCTGAATAGTTTGCCTTCTATTTGTATGTTCATTATTATGCTTTTTAAAGTTCTTGAGTTTTTTAATTTTAGGTGTAGGCTTGCTTTCTTTGATCTTTTTCTTTTTAATAGAAGGAATTAACTTTTATCCCTTCATTTGAAGATGAACCTGGCAAGCAGGTTAGAAGTGCAATCAGAATAAAGAACACTCGCAAGTCCTATGTAGCGTTCAAGGTAACTTATTTACCGTTTAGAATAAAGAAGAACTATTTCTATTTTCATGTTTTCAAAAAAGTAACGACAGTTTTTTTGTTTACAATATGTTGTACAGTTACATTATCTTTATCTATAGATTGTTAACGTCAAAATTTTTTTTTCTTCTTGTAGTTTCAAACAACTGCACCAAAAAGTTGTTTTATGGGTCCTCCTGGAGCAATACTTTCTCCCGGAGAGAGTATTATAGCAACTGGTACTGTGCTTTACTTTTTATGTATTTTCTTTTTGAAACTACGTTCTTTGTTTTTAAGTGCGTGCAATCATTATCATGGAGGTTTTCTTTCTGAATCCTTTTCTACATCTCGTTCCTTTTAACCCATTTACATCTATTACTTAGGCGTTTGGTTCTATATCATTGATTGATGATAAAAGGAATTGCAATGCAAGCGCCTTGATTCTTCATCTACTACTTAAATTCGCAGTTTTCAAGTTTGTGGAGCATCCAGAGAATAATGAGAAGCCATTGCTTGATCAGAAAAACAAAGTTAAGTTTAAGATCATGAGTTTGAAGGTGAAAGTGCATATGGAATATGTTCCAGAACTAGTGAGTTATGCTTTAATTATGTTTCCACTTTTAAACAAGTGATCTTTGCTTATGTTTTTGCATAGGAGCTTCTCCTGACTGGTGATATGCTTAGTTAGTCTTATGAATAAATTGAGAGCATATAGTTGAAAATGGTATTTTATAGTAGATGATCAAATTCATCATTGCATAACATAATAGAAGATTGATGGGGTGTATATTAGTAAAAAGCTGAGATAGGGAGTTGAAATTAATTTGAAATGGGTAGGCCAACATGATTTATTGAACTTTGAAGTCGTTAAGAAAGGTTTATTATAGGAATACTTGTAGATTGATCTGCTATAAGGTTAAAAACCGAGAGCTACACTTAAACAATAAGAGTTTTATGGGAATTGAAGGATGCCCTCAATTCTATGCGGAAGAAGAACTTATAGCATAAACTTCCATACTGGCCACTATTACTCTTTATCATAATCCAAATGTCTGATTGCCCAATTGGCAGACATCTTCACTAAAACACTAGCCTATGACACCTTTAGCACTTTGTGAGGACAAGACTTCGTGTCATAGACATTAATGCGTAATTCCAACAAAAAAAAAAAAAAAATCTTCTAAGGTTGTTCCTGGTCATCACACACTCACTACACAAAAATAAAAAATTGACATTTTCTTTATCGTACTGTACGATCCAATATCGTACTGTATGATATATCAAAACAATATAAATCACAACCCAGACACAAATATCGTCTCTGTTGATCGTACTGTATGATCACCATCGTACTATACGATACTGGTGTCTGGTCATTCAACCTTTTAGTACGACATTATTGCACATCGTACTGTACGAACCACATCTTCGTACTGTATGATCCACATCAGCGAAATGGATGAGGACGACTTAAAGGTTGTTGGTACGATATAATAGCCTGTTCGTACTATACGAAACTTTTCGTCAAGGGTCGTTGGTTTTCATCAAAGTTCATACCGACGACCTTCAGGACGATCGAAATCCTTCTAATCGTACTGTACGAGTTGACCACATTTTTCGAACTGTTCGTCCAGAAAATATTATTGCCACATCGTACTGTACGATACTAGATCGTATTGTATGATATTTTCAAAATTCTATAAATTAGTTTAACCTGAATATCATTTAACTCATTCCTCCTTCACCTCAATTAGTATAACCTGCCTTCACGAAATGTCGAGTTCTAGCAAGCACGATCGTATCATCGTTGGAAGCTCGTCCTCCTCTCGCCGCCCCGACGACCGTTTCCTGGCTCCCGAAAATGAAGATGCTTATCGCAAATACAAGGCCTGCAAAATTACACTGTCTCGGATGCTAAATCAAGCTGTTTTAAATTTTGAGGTTTGCGTGTGGACCGTTCTTGAACAAGCTAGGAAGGGACTTGCGCTCGTCACCAATTCTATCCTCGCACCAAATTTGACCTTTTGGCATGTGGAAGTTTGAATTTAAAACACAATTAACATAATGAAAATAAAACAACCTAATTAACTCTAAATAAACCTCCCTAATTCCTTCCCAAATCTGATTTCAAATCAGCTTTCTTTTTCTAAATAAATCTTCATAATTCCCTTGCAAATCTGAATTCAAATAAGCCCTCTTTCTTTCCTTAAATAAACATTCATAATTCTCTCTCAATTTTGATTTTCTATGGTAAGTAATTAAAGGTAGAATTAATCTCCTTTGATCCACCATCTCTTAATCCTTTCGCTTCCCTTGGCTCCAGGATCACCTCCATTTCTTTTGTCATGGTCATTGACAACATCGTTGATGGACTGTGGTCGCCAATAACTTTCTCTTGCTGGGACACATGGAACAATGGGTGTATGGTGGAAGTAGGAGGTAGCTACAAATGATACGCCACGATACTAAGCCTCTCCACAACCTCATAGGGGCATCTCCAAGTGAAAAACTCATTTTCTACTCCAAAATGTAGTCATGGTGGCCATGGATTTGGAACAACGAATGAAGGTGATAAGACCATATTAGATTTTTGTTTAGCTTATGATTTTTCAATTGCTAATATCTTATTTAAGAAAAGGAATGAGCATCTCGTCACTTATAAAAAATGGATATAGTACAACCCAGATTGACTATTTTTTTATTAGAAAATTAAATCGTCTAGATTGTAAAGTTATTCCGAGTGAAAATTTATATACCCAACATTGATTATTAAATAGGCAAGAGTTCCTACATCAAGGACGGATATGGGGAAAGAAGCTAGTCTATGAAACTAAAATTAGAATAGGAACTTGGAATATATGTTTCCTTACATGAAAATTAATGGAATTAGTAGATATTATGATTCATAGGAAGTTAAATATTTTGTACATTTAGGAAACTAAATGGGTTGGAGAGAAGGCTAAGGAAATTGATAGTTTAGCATTTAAACTTTGGTATTTGAGTAGGAGTCGCACTAGAAATAAGAATTTAAACTTTGGTTGGGTGCCTATCATCTCCTTAAGTTTTTAGTCTTTATTCATACTATGCCTAGATTTGTCATTTTGGTTGGGTGCTATCACTACTACTCCATAAATTCTCCAAGCTATGATATTTCTTTTCTCCTTTGAATTAACTTCAATGTTATTGTGCAAGGTGCCACGGGCTCTACTATTAAAATAAATTGTAAGCTATCCAAATTGATTTTCTAAATTCTTGATTGAAGCAACTTGACTTTGCAATTAATTTCTCATTTCAATCACTAACTCCTCCAAAGATATCTTCCTATCTCTTAATTGATTATTTTAATTAAATCCTAAAGGATAATAATGCTTAGGGTTTACTATAAGTTTTTGAGGATTGCTCCAATTTCTTCTAGAATTAGATTGACATGTATTCCACTAATTAGTTTCACCACTATTATTATTCCAACTAAAGTTGGGGTGTTCCTCCAGCCTAGGTTATAAATATTAAAATAGGAATTTTTTTTGTACTCCAATGGCATTAACATTCTCAACCCATTGAGCACTATTCTCGCCAACATAATTTAAATCTCTCTTCCAAAAACACTTGTGATTCAAACCTTGAACTAACTCTAAAATTTTCCAACTTATTAGATATGGAAGCTACTTGAGCAATCAAAATCGATAAAGCATCTGACTCATAAACACTGATTATATTCTTAGGATTCACCATAATTGAAGACCACTAAAAATTATTTGTTGAAATTTCCTCTATAAATTCCTAAGCCTTATCAAAAAGTTTAGACAATAATAATCCTCCAGCTATTGCATCAATTATTAACCTAAGGAATTGTACAAGCCCATTATAGGAAGTTTGAATCACCAACCAATCAGGCAAAACATGGTGAGGGAACTTTCTAAGCATCTTCTTAAATCTTTCACAACTTTCATAGATAAACTCTCCTTAAAATTGAGAAAAAGATATTATTTCATTTCTAAGCTTACCAGTTTTAGATGGTGGGAATACTTAGTTAGAAATTTATGTGCCAACTTATTCCAAGTAGTTATAGATCATAGGAGTAAGGAATTCAACCAATGTTAGCTTTGTCTCTTAGCAAAAATAGAAACAAATGAAGCCTACCAGTGCTATTACTAACACCATTGTACTTGAATATTGCACAAATTTTTAAGAAGCTAGTTAAGTATAGAATGAGATCCTTAATAGGAGTTCTCCCAAACTAGAAATTTTGAACCAATTGAATTATGGTTTGTTTTAACTCAAAATTATTGGCAGGTTTTAGCTCAAAATTATTAATTTGGATAGTAGGTCTATTGATACTTTGATGAAATATATCTACTATAGGATTAACATACTCCTAAGAGGTTTAAACTGTTCTAATCTAGATTTGGTTCAGCCATTCCTAATGCTATAATTACTTTGGATTTTTCAATGTTTATATGGGTCATCTAAATCTATAAATCAAACAAAAAAGGTTCCATACAAGATCTACTACACATAAACCAATAATAAAAGAATTAAATTATAAAAAATAATATAACAAAGGAATTTTTTTTAAAATTTTAAAATAAATAAATAATAAATAATAAGATTTAAGATAGATGATACAATTATAATTAAATATATATCTCTTTTAATATTATAGATAAAATTGCATGAAAGCTTGCAACTTCCCTGACTACGGTGCCAAACATTTGATAATGGGAAGTAGAGGTGTGTAAAATATACTTAGGTCCTCTTTCATATAAATGTCCACTAAATAACGCTTGTGCACGTATCGATCAAGTAATAAAAATGATACGAGAGAGTGTTAATCCCATGAGTAAGTATTTTGCTACGCTGCAAATGTGGTAGTACTTCCTGTTTAGCTAGAATGTTTATCCTATACAATGAAAATCAAGTTTGGATTCTACCTTAACTAAGAAATGTATAAGAAAGATAAGATAGTGGTAGATAAAATATTTTGGACTAATGACAATGAATTTCCAAAGCTTCCCTAAGTAGTCTCTCCTATGTTGGTTATGAATTAGAGCTTATGCATCCTTATATCTCTATTATGCTTATAAGAAAGTGAAGGAAGGTCCTAGAATTATTATTTCTCCATAGACTCTAGAAAACTAAACATCATATGTCTAGGCATGCAAGAGTTTCATTTCCATACTCCTAATTATTTCAATATTTCTCCATCGAGGTAAAATATCACACTATATTTTAACTCTACACATGGTCATTATATAGATTAAATTAAGAATAAGAGATATTGAAAACATCCATTAATTTAGTAAATCATAAGAGATATCATTAGCCAAAAACTAAGTGTTTTAGCCAGCCACAAAATTAAAATAAAATAAAATAGATTTCATTGGTTGCTCAAAAAAGAAAGATAACTTCTTTAATTACAAGGTGAAAAGTGAAAATAGATATCACCAAAATAGTACACACTATTATCTTCTTTAATTACTTTCTTTCTCACAATATGGTAGGCCAACCACTCCAATTGCTATATCTTTCTCTCCTCTAGTTTCCCTTAGACTTGACTCTAAGTTGGCACCACACTTAAACACTTAGAACT